ATGGAGCAGCTACATGCTGAGAACGCCCAGCTCGCCCAGCAGCTGGCTTTGTTATCTGCTCAAGTTGCTCAGCTATCTGCCCAGGTTATGGCTGCTCCACCACCACCCAGGAGAAAATGCCAAGTGGCGAGGCCGGACGAATTTGATGGCAACCCGGACATGTTTCCTGTGTTCATGGGACAATGCCACTTGTACATTAGTGTGAAAGCAGATGATTTCCCCACTGACCGGGATAAAGTGGGTTTTATGATAAGCCTGCTTTCTGGTTCTGCAGCTTGTTGTGGCACACCCTTGTTAGCCCAATGTAGCCCAATGTAGCCCATTGCTGGACAACTTTGTGGGGTTTTGTGATCACATGCGGTTGATGTGATCAACTACCCGGCGTTTGAAAGCCCTGAGGCAAGGCCAACGCCCCCTGCAGGGCTATATCAGTGAATTTCGGCTGCTTAGCCAGGATTCAGCCTGAAATGAGGCTGCGCTCAGGGACGCTTTCCAGGATGGCTTGTTGGAGGAGAAGTTGGATGAGTTGGCCCATGTTGAGCTTCCCCCGGACCTTAATCGGTTCATTCATCTCTGCCTGCGGATCAACGCCTGGCTGCAGCAGCGAAGGAGTTGCCGTGCTACCCCAGAGACCTGTACGCCCCCCATTGTGAGTGCGACCCTGGTCCAGAGGGAGGAGCCAATGGAGTTAGGTGCTGCCAGACCTCATCTATCGGTGGCAAAGATGAACAGGCAACATTCGGGGGGGTTGTGTTTTTACTATGGGGACCCTGGACATTTGGCTGCTTTCTTCCCCAAGAAGCGATGAGGGGCATCTGTGACGGAGCTGGTCCCTAAACTGCCCTTGGCTTCCCTGTCAGGAAATGGGCCACGCCCAACCTAAAAGGCCTTTTGGGTCAGGCATCCCGCAACTCCAAATCACGTCCTTCTGATGCTGCCCACGGACCACAAAGCATTTGATCTTGGAGTCGTGCCTACTTCTTCCTATGTTGCCCAAGGGGATTCCTGTCCATGCGTTGATTGACTCTGGGGCCACTAAGAACTTTATGTATGCAGCATTTGTGGCTAAATGGATGATTCCCCAATGCCCGGTGGATCCGCCGATATTAGTGGAGACCATTGATGGTCGAGTGCTTCTGTCTGGGCCAATTTGGCTGCCACACAACTGCTATGTCTGGCCCTCAGTAATCATGAGGAGGCCATTCAGTTTTATATCACCTCAGATCTGCATTTTCCCGTGGTCTTGGGAATGGCGTGGCTCTGGGCGCATGACCCCCAGATCTATTGGTCTCAGAACTTGGTCACCTTTCCAAGCCTGCAATGTGTGGACCACACCCGCCACATCTGTGCCGGTCAGGTAGAGGGGCCCATAGGGGTCTCCTTACCCTCTGAATTGGCAGATTATGCTGATGTGTTCATTGAGACTGAGGCAGATTGATTACCCCTGCACAGGCCTTATGACTGCCCCATTGACTTAGTCCCTAATGTGCCTCTCCCAGTGGGGTGTTTGTATTCCATGTCGGACCCTGAGTTGGCTGCGTTGAGGGACTTTTTGGACAAGAATTTGGCTCAGGGGTTTATTCGGCCCTTGTCCTCCCCAGTATCTGCACCCGTACTCTTCGTCAAGAAGAAGTCCGGTGAATTGCAGCTTTGCTGTGATTATCAGAAATTAAATGCCATCACAGTGCACAACCGATACCCGCTGCCCCTCATCCCCGAAATCTTGGAGCGGCTCCGTGAGGCCAAAATCTTCACAAAACTGGACTTGCGTGGAGCTTACAACCTTGTCAGAGTTCGGTCGTGTGATGAGTGGAAAACGGCATTTGGTACACAGTACGGGCACTTCGAGTACACGGTGATGCCCTTTGGCCTGACCAATGCCCCTGCTGTTTTCCAACACTTTATGAATGATATTTTCCGGAACTTGTTAGATCAGTTTGTGGTGATTTACCTGGACGACATCCTGATCTATTCCCAATCGTGAGAGGAGCACCATCGACATCTCCATCAGGTCTTGCAGAGGCTTCGAGAACATCAGCTATATGCTAAATTAGAGAAATGCCAGTTCTACCAGATGACTATTGAGTTCCTGGGTCACCGCATTTCTCCTGAGGGCATTGCCATGGATCGGAGTAAGGTGTAGGCTTTGCAGAGTTGGCAACCACCACATTGTGTGATGGATGTCCAGCGATTTCTTGGGTTCACCGACTATTATTGAACTTTCATCCCCGGATTTGCTACCATGACAGCTCCCCTTACTCGCTCCTGCAGAAAAAGACTCGGTTTCAGTGGGACGCTCCAGAACAATGGGCTTTCTAGGCTTTGAAGGAAGCCTTCATGAAGGAGCCCATCCTGAAGCATCCTGACCCGCAATGGCCATTTGTCATGGAGATGGATGCCTCCGACATTGCCATTGGGGCAGTGTTACTCCAGGTGATGACACCCGGCGGTGCCCTCTTCCCTTGCATGTACTATTCACGGAAATTGAATCCAGCGGAGTGCAACTATACCATCTGGGAGAAGGAGCTATTGGCCATTAAAGTGGCATTCGAGACCTGGAGGCATCATCTGGAAGAAGCACGGCATGAAATCGAGGTCCAGACAGACCATAAGAATTTAGAAAGCCTGCAGACTGCTCGGAAATTGAACCAACGCCAGATCCGATGGTCTCTCTTCTTTGCAAGATTCAATTTCTGGGTGACGTACATACTGAGTAGTCACAATCAAAGAGCGGGTGCTCTGTCCAGGAAGCCCGAATATTCCCGAGCAGAAGACAAGCTTCTGCCCAGGACAGTACTCCCTATTGAGTCTTTTGCTGTGGTGAGGGAGCCAATAGATGTACGGGCTCGGATTCGGGAGGCCCAGCAGCAGGATGGGTGGGTGGCTCAGCGAAAGGAGGAGGTGGGGCCCAATTCACCATGGACAGTCGTGGATGGACTCCTCCACTATCGTGATAGGCTCTATGTGCCTGGAGGCCCACTCAGAGGACTCATCCTCAGCCAGTGCCACGATAATCCAGCAGCGGGGTATTTTGGCCTGTTCAAGACCCTGAATTTGGTATCCCGTACCTTCTGGTGGCCCCGAATCCGACACAACGTTCAGACCTACGTCTCATCCTGTATTTCCTGTAGGCAAGCCAAGTCAGCGACAGGGGCCCCACCCGGACTACTGCAGCTCTTGCCAACACTCAAAAGACCCTAGTGAGTGGTGTCCATGGATTTTTTGATGGACTTACCCCCATCTTCTGGATTTGTGACGGTATTCGTGGTGGTTGACATGTTGACCAAGATGGCGTATTTCATTCCATGCCGTGGCTTACTGTCTGCTTGCACCACCACTCACATGTTCATCCAGCAGTTGTTCCATCTGCATGGTCTTCCTGATAAGGTCGTGTCCGATAGAGGGGCCCAGTTCACAGTCCATTTCTGGCAGGAGTTGATGCAGGCGTTGGATGTCAAGATCTCTTCTCATCCGCACATCATCCCCAAACCGACGAAGGGACCGAGAACGTCATTGGAATCCTGGAGCAATATCTGCGCTTCTATGTCAATCAGCAGCAGAACAATTGGGTAGACTATCTGGCAGTGGCTGAGTTTGCATTCAGTAACTCCCAGCACACCACGCAGATGACATCGTTCTTAGCCAATGTGGGCTATCACCCTCGGTTTTTCCCTAGTTCCCCAATAGATGCACCAGAACCACCAGCAAATGACTACCTGGCAGAGTTACAGGTGACCCATCGATTGGTGCAATGACAGTTGGAAAAGGCCAAGGCTGACTACAAACTGTTTGCTGATCGGTCAAGGCAGGATACAGCTCCACTATCGGTGGGAGATCGGGTATGGCTGTCCACCAAGAACCAACCAAGAAATTAGACCACCAATATGTAGGACCATTCCCAATCAAGGCTGTCATCAATCCAGTTGCCTATCGCTTAACTCTGCCACGTTCCATGCAGGTACATCCGGTCTTTCACCATTCTCTGTTGGTCCCTGAGCAACCAGCATGTCCACTCCGCTGAGCCGAACTGCCCCCACCGGAACAACGTGACAGAGACAGTGCCCCCGAGTACGAGGTTGCCAGCATTCGGGACTCCCATTGAGTGAAAGGACGCTTCCAGTACCTGATTGAATGGAAAGGTTATGGACTGGAGGAGTTCACCTGGGAGGATGCGTCTACTGTTCATGCTCCTGCCTTGGTGACCGCCTTTCATGAACAATTCCCCTCCTGACTGCATCCGGATCAGCAGACCTGACGGATGGGCCCTGCAGTGCGGGATAGTGTTGTGATTCCGTGTCAGCCTGGGCTCGCAACAGCTGAGTCTGAGGAATCTGAGGAGGTGGAGGAGGTATTTGAAGAGCCATCAGGGGCAGAGGGAGGCTCAGATGAATTACAGGACTCACGGTTTGATGCAGAGCCTGGGCCCTCCAGTCGTGTTCCTGATGAAGCTCAGCTGTGTGAGGAGAATGAGTCAGACTCGGAAGACTCTGGACTTGCTAATTGACGCACACACACATCATCAATTAGCAAGAGTAAATCAGCAGCAATCAATGCGACTACTCCAGCGTAAAAGGAGAAGGCAATGAGAGGCAACGCTTTGGGACTGCTGTATAAAAAGAGGAGGTGTGGGCAGTGCTGGTTGCTGAAGGCAACCGTTTGCAAAGTGCTTCTTGGAATCCTGGTCTTGCTTGTGACTTCTCGTCTGTTTGTATCATGTTTCCTTTGGACTTGAGTTTTGCTGTTTTGTGTTTTGGACTATTTGACAGGTTTGTCACTCATATTAAAAGAGTTTTGTTTTGTTGTAAAGTCTCCAGCCTATTGCATCAGCAGGGGTTTTGTCTTTGTGCCTTTAACAAGGACGGCAATAGGCTGGGATAGAACAGTTCATTTTGAGCCTTAGTGTTCCTCACTTCATCTTTGCAGGCTCGGGCTATTTGCTGATATTCTGACTTAGTTATGTGCCCCTCTTTCCACTTTCTATACTTGTCTTTTTTATCTTTCAATTTATCAGAGAGTTCTTTATGCAGCCATGCTGGTTTCTTTTGAGAGCTATTATTTTTCTTCTTTGTTGGTATTGTGCTAGACTGGGCTTTTATTATCTCACTTTTCAAAATTTCCCAAGTTTCTTGAGTTGTTTTCCCCTTGAGGATTCTCATCCATGGGATCCTTCCCAAGTCCTCTCTAGGTTTATTGAAATTAGCTTTCTTAAAATCGAAGACTCTAGTTTGACTGTGTTCTATTACTTGTGCTTCCATTATGTTGAATTCCAATATTGCATGATCACTTCCTCCCAATGTTCCTGTGGCTTCAACACCTTC